AAACGAACGAACACGTTAACTCGGAATATTTTCTAAGAGCAAATTTGCGAAAATCAACAATTTTTATAATAGAACCAGTTTCCGTAGGAATTTAATGATTTAGTATGTTCATTAAGAGCAAGTATTCTATTATTATACCAAGTAAATCGTCTAATTTTAATTTTAACAAACGTCAAAAAAACTACTATTTTCTCAAACTTTGATGAATTTTCAAAATTAAACTACATGTCGTAAGGCCGTAATATTTCAGTAAGTTCTGTAAGACCATGATATATATCGCCAAAAAAGTTCATTGAAAATCGGTTTAATTTTTTTTTTCAAATCGGTTCAGGCGTTTTTGAGCAAACGTCGATGAAAGTTGTAATTTTGACAAATGCCAAACTTTGATGAATTTTTAAAGCTAAACGAGTTGTCGTAAGGCCGTAATATTTTAGTATGATCTAGAAGATTATGGTATCTACCGTCAAAAAAATAATCATAAAAATCGTCGAATTTTTTTTTAAACTTTATTACAAGAAAAGAGCCCGCCCGATCTTTACCAAAAACTAATCAGCACGATTCCCAACCAATATCTTTCAAACGGTTTTTGAATTTTCATAATCGATTCAGAATTCTGGGGCTAAAACGTAGACGAAAATTTTTTCACTTTTCTGCGGTTTATAAAGAAACGGCTTTGCCGATCGTCGCACAAAACTGACAAACAATAGTCCTCATCGAGATACATCGAATGGCTTTTAAATTTTTGAAATCGGTCCAGCCGTTTTTGAGAAAATGTCGATTTACGGCAAAAAATCTGTTCACATACACATACACAGACACATATACTTTTTCCAAATTTGGTCTCATTCAATTCAGAATGGCTTGAAACGTCGAAAACATAAAATTAGCGAATCGGATTTTTTGATAAAAACATAAACTTCTTCGGGAAGTTAAAAAATATATCGATATGGAAAACATTATTTCAGAAATTAAAAATGATTTCAAATTCTTTAAAAGAATAAACTGTATGTTTTTATTTTGATTTTATACTTGTTTTTTAATTATTCATAATCAAGTTGCTATTTAAATTTCTTAAAACTTTAAAACCAGTATGGCCTTCAAGAACTACAAGCTCGCTCTACTGTTTATATTAGTTGATACGAGAATGTTATTTAACTAATAGTAAACAGTATAGAATTACATTAAACTCTATCGATCACAATGATAATAAAAAACATTCGAAGAAGATATTAGTTTACAATAACAAATTCATAATTTTTGCTAGCTGAGATGATATGACATGATTTGAAGAACAGATAAAAATAAAATTTTAATTTCTCATTGATTATATAAACAGATCAAATAAACCAATAAGCATATCTTCAAAAGATTATTATTTTTTATTAGATAGATAATATTAAGTTACAAATTCATATGAAGAAATATTTTTTTATTTTCGAGATAACTCAATGAAGTATAGATTATTTTTATATGCTATTCATGACATTCGAGCTCAACAGTATTCATAGCAGAAAAAACATCGAACTAAAAAAGAAATTTTGACCTATAGTTGGAATACTACATCTGGATCATAGCCAAATATATTTCGGATATATGAACTTACGAAAGGTCAACAAAAATTATTAGGATAGATTTTAACCATTTAGCTGTTGGCGCTCACATCAAACCGTGCATGCAGTTTTGTGTCATCCGAGCCGAGTTCATGACGAGTATATTAGTCAATCACAGAGTAAGTTAGATTTAAGATGAAAATATGGGTTTATCTACATATATATAAAAATAAGTCGGGTTTTCCTTCCTGACGAAATAACTCCAGAATGGACCGATTTCGAAAATTTTGCATTCGTTGGATAGGTCTCGGACTTCGCAAGGTTTATAGCTAAGAAAATTAATGGTGCATGGCATCGTGCCCTAATGCAAATTGCTGGAACTTCACGCACCGTAATTGAAAATTCGAGTAATGACATTAGTAAGAATTATCAGAATTATGCTTGGTTAAGTCAACGAGCAATTCTTGCCGCAAAAAATAATGATTTACACGCACTGAATTTCACCATGCAAACAAAAATTGCTGGCGATTTGATGGCATACCAATGATTCCGGCTGGTCTTCCGTTTGACTTCAAACGATTGCAATTTCTAGTTCGCCTTGCGTTCGCAATGACAACTAACAAGTCGCAAGGCCAATCGCTTAGTGTTTGCGGGTTAAATCTCAAATATATTATTTAGAAAATCATTGTTTTTCACATGGGCAGTTATACGTTGCCTGTTCACGAGTGGGAAAACCATTGGCTTTGTTTGTGTTAACGTTAGACCAAAAACCCAAAAATATGGTTTACCAAAGAGCACTTCAATGAAACGGATAATTTGCGGATTCACTTTTACTTAGAGAAGTTCAACTAAAAAAAACTTTATTTTTGTAATCGAAATAAATTCATTACTGTTGTGCAATAAAATTAAATTTTTCCTTTTCAAATATAAAACAAACAAAAAATTTCTTCACCTTTTTCACGAAACCATCTGGTGGCTAAACGGAGTTCGTCGGGTTTGCTATATATAACTTGCCTTAAGGTAAAATGCCACTTACAATTACTAATTTTATGCAGAACCATAGCCCCAAAACATTCTAAACAACTTGACCTTTTTTCGAAAATTTCAATTTAAATATCAAATAGTGTTTTATAGGCATGATGAATATACTCATCAATATACAACATCATGCCACTTTTTCATGACGATTATATTCGCCAAACTAATCTTCATAAATATAAGTATAATAGTATAATAGTATAATAGTATAATAGTATAAATATATATATATATATATATATGTATGTATAATATGCATATGCATATATATAAATAATATATAAAATAAAATCTCTAGTAACATTTATATCTAAAAAATAATGGTGTTTATGAGCTATTAAATTAATTTTTTCATACTTATTTATGAAAATAATTATAAATTAATCAATAAATGAACTCAATAGTATTTAATTTCAGAAGTATGAAAAAAATCACATATTGTAAGTTTAGTTCGCGACGACACGATTTTCCGCCAGAGCGGCGGCATCCGAGCGCAACGGTAAAACGACCATGCGAGCATCCGAGTCGAAAGGGTTAATATTTATTGATTTTTCCCCTCGAATATATAATTCTGGTACGGTAAGTTCCAGCAATTTGCCTTAAGGCACGATGCCATACACCACTAGTTTGGAATAATTTTCAAACTATTTGCAATCAACAGTTGTTTGGGTCACTGAAAATTATGTTTTCATCTACACAGTATAACAAACATAAAATCTAGCCAAAAGATTTTGTCAATTCTTGATAATGGGAATTTGAGATAGGCGTTAATTAAAGTATCCAACATTGGATCGGCGTGAGACAGTTTACTTTCGCCCTACTGGTAAATCGTCAACGCGATAACGGAAACACATGTTCCGACAAGTTTCTCGGTCAGGCGACTGATTATGCGATACGCAAATAAAGCCTCCAGAGAATATAAAGTTGGTATAAAAATTACCCCCAAGGTCTATACAGTTACTTAAACTAGCTGTAAGTGGAATTTTGTCTTAAGGCAATTAAGGCATCGTGCCTTAAGGCAAATTGCTGGAACTTCCCGAACCAAAAATGATTTTTTTAAAAGCGATTAACATTTTTGAAAAAATTTTACTTCGAAAAAATTAGATTTTTGAGAAACTATAAATTTGACAAAAAATTATTTTTTTTTGAAAAAAAAAAATTTTTTTTTTGAAAACAAATTTTTTTTTAAAAGAAAAATGTTCTCTTTATTTTGACATATATTGGAAATTCTGAACTTTTTTTCAAAGCAATCGTACTACTTGAACTGCATAGAGACGAAATGTCAAAGCGCGCAAGTGCCGCGCCGCCGTTTAACGCATGGTACGGAACCCATAGAAATGTAAAAAAAAAGTATACTTATTTTTAAAATCTCTAAAAAATATCTGATAATTTGATGTGCATATGTCTAATGATATTTTTTGACCGCCAAATGGCATTTTTTTTTACTTTTTTTACTAGATCTCCGAAACCGCTAGACCTGCCTTCATGAAAATTTGATCAGTTCTTCATGTTGTTAATACAAGTAAATACAAGTTTTTTGAATTATTCAAATCGGATGCTCCGTTCTCTTAAAAACTGAGTTACCGTTTTCGGCACTTTTTGCCCCGTATCTTCGGAACGGCTAGACCTGCCTTCGCCAAAAAGTAATCAGCACGTCTCCTTATCAATACAAATCGAATGTTTTTTGAATTATTCAATTCGGTTGATCCGTGTTCCCGAAATCGTCGACGAAATCGTGTATCCGCACATACATACATACACGCACACACACACACATACATCCATTTTTCTAAGGTATGCCAAAATGTTCAGAAACCTCTAAAACGTAAAGATATATACAAATTTTCATTTTCGATTTTTTTGCGATTACTATAACTTGCCGTACGGGAAGTTAATAATTCATATATTGGTATTCACATATGGTATGCCAAGTGGTGCAAACACACCCTCTTTAAAATTATATAAGTTGTTTCATGGTTGTCATAAGTAGAAGTAATTATCAGCAGTATTAATTTTATTGTAAGTAACACTCATTATTATGAGGAACCTAGAAAAGATTCTGAATGTTCGTGTGTGTTGTGAAATATAATTGTCTAAAAGAATTTGATACAATTAAGTTCATTAGATAATAAATCGTTAAATTTAAACATATTAATTGTAATTAAAGTTATTGATAATGTAAAAGTCCATGAAATGTACACATTTTGATGCACTTTTATGGATATAAATGCTGCATTCTACTTTGCATCATATATTTTCCTATCATTTGTTAGAGAAAGTTATATTTCAATTTTCAATAATTTTCTGAATTATTTGAAGAATACAACTCTGTATGTAATAGAATTTGTTATTGATTTACATAGCTCAGGTCGAACAGATTATCCCTAAACCTCTAATCCACCTGAGACACATATCAATCTTAAAATTAACTAATCTAATATGTATAAAACATAAAACTCACCATTTGAGCTTTTCAAATCCCTATGTATCAAACTGATGGCAGCTCCATTGTGCAAATAATCCATACCCCGAGCTACTTGAATGGCCCAATCTACTAACACATCTGGTCTAATTTTACGACCAGCTAAAATCCTATTCAAAGAGCCTCCACGAGCATACTCCATAACAAGACACAAATTAGGCACTTCTAGACACACACCACGTAAAGACACAATGTTTTCATGCTTTAATAACCAAAACAACTTTGCTTCTTGTCGAACACTTTCAATTGTCATTTGAATGTCTTCGTCAGCATCTTGTCTTGCTGCTTTCACAGCCACTTCTTGGTTGTTCCAAAACCCACGATATACCTTGAAATAATAAAAAATTGATATTCAATAAATCGTATGTCAAATTGATTAATTGGTAAAACAAAGATTATAAACATGTCCAATTTCTTAATTAGGTTGATATTTTTATTAAATATAATTTGTAATATATATAATTTAATATTTCTGCTACCATTACTACCAAACTCTCTATTATCACGGCAACTGTTAAGTACATCACATTATTAATTAGATAAGACTAAATATCAAAGTTGTTTTAAATTTATTTTATTAATGCATTTCTTACTAAGATTATTCGAATATTGGTTGTGATAAATTTTCAAACAAGAACAAATAAATCCAGAAGAAACTTTATATCGAGTGCAATGAAACTATTCTATGGGCTTCCGAAAGGACAGAAACAAGAAAAAAATATTAGAAAGAAAACTGAGATGATTAATGTAGAAACAGATGTACCTATCATTAAAAAATTGAATGAATGATTTAGAAATGTTGATATGGCAAATACAATGACATGTAAATAAATACATTATATGTTTATATATTTTGTATGAATTCTCATACCAGGCACATCTGCCTGACAAATATATATAGGGTTAGGGAAAAAGAAATCCATTATTTTTATGTGAACTTCAAGACTTTATTTAACATGTTTTGCATTGTCCAATTTAGGTCAAATAAGCACCATTTTGCTCTATAGTTTGTTGCCATTTTAATGGTAGCTTCATTATGCCTCTCTCATAAAAGTCTTGGTCCTTATTAATGAAAAACTCCAGCAATTGATTTTCACACTCTTCCCTTGATGCCAATTTCTTATCACTAAAAAAGTTTTGCAATGCAAGAAAAAGATGGTAATCGCTTGGTGCGAGGTCCGGACTGTATGGTGGATGCATCAGAGCTTCCCAACCAAGCTCCTGGAGTTTCTGACGAGTCACTATTGAAGTGTGTGGCCTGACGTTGTCCTGATGGAATACGACACCTCTTCTGTTGGCCAATTCTGGCCATTTCTGGTCAATTGCTCGCTTCAGACGGTCCAGTTGTTGATAATAGATGTCTGAATTTAATGTTTGGCCATATGGAAGCAACTCGTAATAAATGATTCCTTAATAAATGAAGAGTGTGAAAATCAATTGCTGGAGTTTTTCGCTAATAAGGACCAAGACTTTTATGAGAGAGGCATAATGAAGCTACCATTAAAATGGCAACAAATTATAGAACTAAATGGTGCATATTTGACCTAAATCGGACAATGCAAAACATGTTAAATAAAGTCTTGAAGTTCACGTAAAAATAATGGATTTCTGTTTCCCCAACCCAATATTATAATAAAAAAAAACTGAAATATCAGGACTTCAGAATGTATGTATAGATTAAAACATAAATACTCAAAATACTTTACAGCAACATATTATTGAATTTTTTGCTTAGTTTGATAAGTCTTAAAGTATACCCAAGTTTTCTATAACAAAAGACGTCATTATTGTTGACTTGTCAAATTGACAGTTACGGATGCAAATGAATGACAACTAATAATAGTAGACCGTTAGATTCAATATTAACTATTTAAACAAAATGTATACCTTGCCAAAACCCCCAACTCCAATAACTTCTTGCAGTTGCAATTCATTAAAATCAATTTCTTGGGGATGAATATCGCCCATAACCGAATTGACATCGCTAATGGGGTCGTCTTCGGCAACAAAATTTGAAGGAAATATTCCAACTTTATCGCCGATTTTTCCAGTCCACCAGCCCTCATCTCCTGAGATTTTGGCATCTTTTGATAACACTTCAACTATTTGACCCCTCTGAAGGGATAGTTCGTCCTCCCCCTGAGCAGAGTAGTCGAACAAGGCAGTGTAAAGGGATAAAGAGCCATCGGTACTGGAAAATCCTTTAATCTGGCTCGATGTCGAACTCGGCAATGATATTCCACTGACCATGTCTCCATTGCGAAGGCAAGCTTCCATAGAAATTAAAGAAGATGAAAGCGGCGGCATTAATTAGGAAACGCTTGTAAAAAACATTTTCTTTCAAAGCACAGATATTTTTTTGACACACCGTTTATAACTACCGATCACAAATTATAGCACGCACTGTTAACTGAATGCACTTTACGGTTCAGACAGTTTGATTAAACATTGTAAATAAAAATCACACATATACACGGAACGCAGTATTAGTATTGTTCGGCCATCTTGCGCATTCCCCTACCCACATACGGCAAGTTGCACAATGGCACTTGTTTTGAATGACAACTTGGGCGCAGCACCATCTAGCGAATGGTTGGTAACGACGACGTTCCATGTTCACAAACCGTGCTTAAAGTAACGAAACCTAGGTGAGGATTTGGCGCTAGTGAGCCGATATCAAGTGACAGGTTATTAATCCTCTACATCAAGGGCGAGCAACCGTTTTAAACCGCGGCCCTATTTAAATTTTCAAATTTTATGGCGGGTCGCACGTAATTCATATATATACTAGCTGACCCGGCGAACGTTTAGCTACATTAAATATTTTTAGAAAATCATTAGTATAAGAAATCACTAACTAATTCTAAATGTACAAATGTTATTACATTGATAATTTACCCGCTGCAACGCTAAAATACTCGTTATGTTTAATAATAACTGGCAGAATAACTAGTATTTATATATAGAGAAAATCAACGTTTTTCCTTTAATATTTAATGTCAAAAATCAATCCAACTCGGAGATCGACGACGACTTTGAAATCTGTTGCGATCGCTAGTCGAAGTCCAGATGAGACGACCCAATCAGATTCTGCTCCAACGGATCTCGAGGCATTGTTGCGAACGGGAATCCTGACAGAAGTAATTGATTGCTCATTTGAACTAAATGAAACCCAACAAAAAGTTGAGTTGACACTCACAGTCAGACAGACAAAAGTATTTATTACAATATATGACCATACATTTATCACTGTTATTTTTAATATATATTTTTCTACCCTTGGGTACTTTATATAATATAATTGATCTTAACATATACAGTGAATATTGATTGTGAATACAGCGAGATGTGTGACAAATTTTGTGGCAAAAAAGAGGAAAGAAAACTTTTCCTCTAAAAAAAGCCACAAAGCAATATTTATAATAATACATAATTACACAAAAAAGAATAACAAAATAATAGATTCATTCGCACTGAAGGAAAATCTGTGTCGAGCCAAGTATCATTTGCCGCTATGGGTCGATCAGTATATAGTTTGGCATGACGTGATTGCCATACCAAACTACGTCTCTAGTATATTTCCCGAGACCCGCAATGTTAGTATTAGGATGATCCCCACATTTTAGATAAAAATTTTCAGTGAGCTTTTTTATATAGTCGGTACGTAAGTCTGTTTGTGTATGTATTTTGAAGAGTAGTAATGTCTAGTCAGTGGGTCCCTTATTTTGTTAAGTCGTAGTCGTAGTGTCTTATTTTGTAATGTCTGTAGTTTCCGTAAGTTAGTCTTAGTTGTCGCGTTCCATGCTGGAGCGGCGTATGTCAGTAACGGTCTTATGAGTGTCAAGTAAAGTGTCCGCTTGTTCTTCACGCTTAGCGGGCTGTTGTCTCTCAGTAGATTTAACATCCCGTAAGCCTATCCAATTTTCGTATTAATATGTTTTGAGAAGCTGAGTCTATGGTCCAGGGTCACAATTAATGAAATAATTGATGGAATGTTCTCGAGCATCCATCTAATACTAAAAAATATTTTATTGAAGAAGAATGTCTTTATTAATAACAGCTTACGTTTCAAGTTTTGGTTTGACTCATCAGTGCATACAAATAACTCAAACAAAAGACAAACATAAGAAACACTAATTAATATATACACATAGTTATAACACAAAAAAATTCAATATCAAATTAAATTAATTAAAAAAAATTAAAAAACCTGAGGTATTTTGATGGTATGGACCACGTTAACTCTTTGATTACAAGCCACTTGCGTTAATGGATCATCATCTATTTGGTCAAGTCACAATATTAAATCATACATTACTTAGGGTTTTTTCACGTTAAAAATAAAAAGGGTTAGGGTTTATTCATTTTCGCATATATTATCTACAATAGCTATACACATATAATAATAATAACTTCATAAAAAACACCACATAACAAAATCATTATATAATGTAGTACATATTAAAATTAAATATATACATTATTAGGCATTACATAATAAAGAGTATAATTTTGACTCGTAAATAATTATTATTAACTGAAATTACATATAAAATTAACAAATATAATCTAATTATTTACCATATTGCAATTGAAAATTGAGATAGAAAAACTTGTGACTATTTGGCCATCAATATCTACTTTATGATATCAAAACTTCACGTTTGAAAATTTGGCATCTAAGATGCACTAGAAAAGACTACATATTTTAATAATACTTTTTGTTCAACAGTCAGTTTTAAATTTGCTAATCAGTACAAATGTTGCATTACAAATTGTATAAAATGGTCAATACGTTGCTGTTAATTATTGTTGAATTATTATCTCAGGGTATATTTCTAGTGTATAGCAATATTTCATAAGGTACATATTTTTATGGAAGAATTAAGCTAAATATGTTGGATCTGTAGTAGTAAATACAGAAACTAAGTATATCAAGTGTATTACAACATTTAAGAAACGTGAAATTTAGTTTAGGATGCAAAAAACACCAAATAAAATTTCAATATATTATATATTTATATCACACAAATAATTTTATTATGAGTTAGGTAAAACATGTTCTTGAAATGTTTTAACTGTTTTTTTTTTTTATTAAAATGGTCAATAGAAAGTAATATGAAAATTTAAATATTATAAAAAAGAATCAACAAAATAATCCAATAATGAATTTAAAAAAAATATATAGATTAAGGTAATGAGTTAGATGATAAACTTTGAAATTATTGGAATTGAAATCAGTTTACCGATAATTGAATTTCATAAAATAATTCTGGTTTAGGAATATTTAGTTAGAAACGTATCCATCGAATTTATATATAAATAAATTAAATTTTCAGAACATGTTCTAGTCTTGCATTTATGACCTTTAATTGTATTTATTGAAAATCAATAATTATTTCATAGATAGACCAAGATTCCATCTTATAAGAGCAGTAGGTGCTTATTTCAATATACATACTCGAAATGTTCCGTTAATATAGATTTTATGCTATGTATTAATTAATGTATAATTTATATTTTCATATGTTATAATCAATTTAGAATATTCTAATATAATCACATAAATAAAATGAATATTTGTTTAGTATTTAAATTTTAGTAGTATATTCATTATATTTTCTTAAATAAATGATTTATAGTACCTTTTGATATATTGAAATTCATCAATATTATAATGATCAATTCCAATCTTAAATGCATGTGATACAACCACATAATTTCCCAGAAAAAGTAAATTTCTAGCAAGAAAATTCACAGTGAAACCGAAAACTGCAAAAAACCTTGACAATAAATTTTTCTCAAATAATGTCAGCAATTTAAAAAACAAACCTTAACTTTTATATAATATGAAACGATTGATTATATGATAAATTAAAGTACTCTAAAATTTTATTGGTCCATTCTTACGCATTTCTGTTCGGTTACTAATATAAATATAATTTCAACGGTTTTATGAATTTTGTGGGAAATTTTAAAAAATATTTACAAAAACTATAAAAGAAATACATATACTAAAATTATTAAACAAATAGTCAACATACAATAATATAATTTTCAATCCTCTGTGCAACTTCCATTCAATTAAAAGTTAGGAGTTGCAACAAGATACGATGAACCATGTCAAAAGGTATCTCTCATTATTTTGAACAACAATGCTAATTTATATTTGAAGCAATTCAGTGAAAAAAATCTTACGCCTTGGCTTGGCTATGTGAAAGTATAAAGAGACATTACCTGGGGAAAATTACTTGATGAATCGGAGAGGAGTGAACTGTTAATACTTATTTCCTATCTATTGCCGTGTAAGTATTTATGTAAATGAGGCAAATTATATAATTTTATCTGTAAAATTATTGAATTGTATATTGAAGGGCCAGATTTCAGATACATGCAAAATTGTGGATTATTTGTTTATTAGATCCTGTTTAGGATAGAAGTGTTTGGTATCCACTCCACTTATTGAAAATTTCAAAATATACTGATGAACATGCAGATTACGTTTTATCTTCAAATGTAAAAATATAAACAAAGATAATTTAATGTTTTTCATAGACAATAATAATTGTGCGCTTGAATTCCATAAATAAAATCAAAATTTATTGAAATTATATTAGCATTGAATAAATCATTTCAAAAATAACATTCACTAAAAGTTATGGACAAGAAGGAATGAATATAAATTATTTTATTGAAGCATATATTAAATAGTAAAAACAATTGTTATAAAAATCGAGATTAATTTGACTTGTGAGTGAAATAACAAGAGAGTATGAAATACTGTGTGTAGTTAAAAGGCGTAAAAACACAATCATGCGATCATACGACGTACAACCTTGTCATATAAATAACAGTACATATTTGTTTGAAATGTAAGATCAAACTAAGATTAAATTAGTTATTTGACGGCTGCATTCTGCATATATTTATCATCAAATTATCATGCGAATGACTTGATAGTTCGATCCTATATTTAAACAAATCACATATTAAAACAGGCATCATATGCTTTATGCTGCTCTTTGTCCGTTTATAACGACTCTCTCCCTACTGTGCTCTCTGTTCAGAGAAGTTCTCCTTGGAGGAGAACCACCTTTAGTTCCATTACTATTTTGGGCAATTTTTGATTTGCGAGCGCGTTTGAACTTAGCGACGTCTTCTCCAAATACATCGCCAGTTCTTAAGGCGCTGATTAAATCGTCAAATTCACCTTTATTGTTATCCATAGCTGAATTATTGTTAGATGAATTATGATTGTGATGAGAACTGGTTCGAGAACCCATTGTGGCCGAACGAACCGCGGTGTCCAGATGCGAGGTGATCTCGCGGCTGTGTTTGCGTTCCAGGGTTCTTCGTTTTAGCTTAAAATAAAAATTATTAACTAAATAATTACCTTCTGCAAGATATTTACATTACATATGTATTTAGATCTAAGATCTTATGGTACGCAATGAATAAATAAATGTGTATAATGTCTGTGATTTAATAGTTCAACTTGATAATTGAAACTTGAAATTGAGAAATATGTTTTATTGTTTTAGTCAATGGTATTTGGAGTACAAAAACTCATATTGAAATGTTTTATTATTATTACCTCAGCATCTTGCTTAGCACGTCTCTCATCTTCTTCTCTCTTGCGTTTGCAAGCGTCGTTATCATGTTGAGCTTCTGCCAGAGCAGTCAAGAAAGCATCGAAAATGCCGAAGAACTCATCTGGTTGCAATTGAGATCCATCTTCGCCGAATAGGCGAACAGCTCTGTCAAAACGTGCTTTCATATCCTGGGAAAAAAAATTACAATGAATTGATTGTGATCAATCTTAAGTTTTGGAACTAAATTATTATTTTGTGTTATATTTTTACCTGGAATTGATCCTCCAATTCAGCGAAAGTGGCGCTTGCTTGAGCGTGGAAATCTTGCATGACGGGCAAAAAGCGATCTTCGCCGAATGAACCTCCAGTGGGACACGCACTGCTTCTGTGGAAATCGATTTCGCGAGCCACCTGTAAAAATTTGTAACTTTGAATTGACATATTCTTCATATCAAAATATTGATTGATAAATCAATAAATCAAATCGTTGGTTTGTTATAAAAGATTATCGTACCTCGGCCAATCCAGTTCTCAAGAAAGCCACATCCTTATCAAGTTCAGCAAGACTAACTTTGGCAGCCTCCCGAGCGTGTGGTAAATCTTCCTCTAGCGATAAAACATCGCGAGATCGTCTCTCCAATACACGAGCCACATGGTGCAGCAAAGTGGCCCCACGAACTGTTCCTGACTTGGTATCAGCTAATCGAAGCAAAGATGCGAGACGGAATCCAGATGCATTGCCTGTTGCAAAACACGATATTATTAACTAATAAAAAAGCGATCTTACAATGAATCGATTATTGCAAAGTTCATTCAGAGCAAAGTTTTTCACCTCTAGCTCCACGGTTCATGTAGTTTCCTAATGCCAACACTAATTCTAAAAGCCTTCTCAATCTTCTTGACCTTGCAACTTCACGAGATGCTTCCAAAACTTTAAGTACTCGTGGCTTCAATTCGCTGACAATAGTTTGGAACTTTTTGCGATAATGCAACGAGCGAAGGCGTTGTTCGTAATGTGGAATTCTGGAAAATAATTATTTTCAAAAATTATATACCGAATATAAAATTATACAAGTATTTATCTTTAAGAAAACTTACTTAGAAATTTCATAAAGGAACCTATCAGCTCTTGCCAAGCTCTCGATATCTTCAGCATGTTCATCCAACAATGCTGCTTCTTCAGGAGAAGGAGTGAATTTCAATAGCTGTTCTAACATATCTATAGGAAGTTGATTTGATTCATCCATTGTCATTATGGCCCTACATATTTCTTCATCAGTCATCTTAAGTTTAGATAACAAAATTGTGCAATTTTGCGCTCTCCTTCCATCAATAACAGATAAAACTTTCGCCCTTCCTTTACCGACCAAACGCAGATCTTCGACTGATCCATCATTCTATATAAAGAGAAGTTTAGAAATTAAACCTTATTTCTTAATAGTAGTGTAAATTATTATTTGCCGAATTCCAAAATAAACTTACCGCAACTCCGTTCTTTTGATAAGCTGAGAACATTCTATCAACACTTTCAAGTTCAAGTGCTTCGTACCATTTGCTTCCGTCTAACTCGCTCCATAGAGTACCTCTCAATTTGCCTGAGAAAATTTGAAATATTACGAGTATTAAATATATTTCATGGAATGAAATGCCTGAATATGAAATGATACATCGTTAGCAGGATATGAAACTGCAAAAATATTTACCTTCAGGTAATTTACACCAATTGAAGCTCTTGAGTGGCAAAGCAGGTTGCGGTGGTGGCGGTCGATTGCTGAACACTGAAACCATTGGCGGTGCAGGAGCGGCTGGAGCTAGCGGAGCCGAAGAAGTAATTGGGGGTGCAATTGGAGCGACTGGAGGTGGTGCAGGTGGCATCGGTGGAGCCAATCCCGGTGGTGGAGGCGGAGGAGGGGGTAACGATGGAGATCCAAGAGATGATGCTTTAAGGGATGTGACCTATAATATAATATAACCATGATAGAAAAACTTAATAAAAAATGCTGGATTTTAAAATCAAATCTTATAGATATGTAGATATATTTAGGTTGGTATGTTGATATAAATATATAGTGAGAATATATTATTGCAAATAATGATAAATATATACCTTGACATCATCAGAAGTGCAACCTTGTTGCAACAACGTTTGAAGTCTCTCCCTCTCAGCACGTTCTTGTTGCAAACGTTGTTCCAGTTCGCATGCACGACGTTCGGTTTCTGCCAATCGTTGTGAAGCTTGCAAATGCTGAGCAGACTGAAATTTAAAAATCAAATTTAATATATCATATAATAAAAATATTTTTTAGATTCAGAAGACCAAAGAATAATATTCAAGTATTACTTCTTTTTCTAATCGCTCCTTTGTTCTTCTTACAGCACTCTCGGCATCTTCTTTCTGTTGAGTGCGCAAGTCCAGTTCTTGCTCCTGAAATTAATAATGTTTACATATATCATATTTATAGCCAATCTGGAAGAATTACTACATATTATTTCACGAGTTCCTCTCGTGGATTAAATTAAAGTATAAAATCTATTCAAAATTTTTATTGCCTAATGTCTCTATTTAATCTAAACATTATCAGAACAAATAAGTATATAAGATGTTTCCACATAATTTCAATAAATGTTTGTATCAGCATTTTTTAGAAATATCGGCAGTATTCGATATGTCTCACTACTAAATAATATGGAACTTTAATAACGTATATAATTGTACTAAAAATAGAAAACACTTGTACATACTTCATTACTGCTTCAGAATCTTACCTTTTCAGCAAGTTTCGATGCAACTTCCGCATTTTCCATTTCCAACTTTTCAGCCTTATTCCTAGCTTGTTCCAGTTCCTGCTCATCTTTCAAAAGCTTGACCAGAGCACTTACGTCCACTGCTAGTGGTGGTGCGCAATCTGGATCCGTAGGAGGCATATCTGGATTAGGAGCTGGAGTTAGCGGTGGTTGAGTGGTAATTACAGTTACGTCACCATCGGTGAGAGGTTCTGAACAAGTTATGCCGGATGCAGGACGTTGCAGAACCAATTGTTGTAATACGCGGTCGAACATTAGCCAATGTTCTGCATGATGACCTAAGTCCACTAGAAAAAACAAACAACATGCAATATAAATATAGAAGCAACCGCCATTAAGTAAAAAAAAATTTGAATGAACTAATACATAATATAATTTGATAAATTTTTTCTATTATTTCCAGCTTACATGGCAGTAGCAACATGTGCTGAAGAAGTGAAACGAGATGAGGGTATGCCGGCGTATGACTGAGTTTCCTCCTTAATAAATCAAACATTGCGCTGGCGCTTTTGGTATCAACACGCTCCTCTTCAAATTTCCTAGCGAGTTGTCTTTCGTCTTCGGCTCTTAAAAGTTCAAAGAAATCAAGATGCCGCTCTAAAGTTTCATCAGGGGACCCAGAGCGCAACTCGTCCAACACTGGCTGTAAACCTGTAATAGAAAATAAGGGATAGGATTAAAATATCATTAAAAATTTGTACAATATTTGTAATTTGTAAATATAGTTGATATTTTTTATATTATTCTAAGAACAACTAATAATTACTAAATAATATGTTAACTAACAACTAATATACAGTACATGTTATAAATATGAGATTATTGATAGTTCTGTAAAGATTACATTTTATTAATTAAAAAGCTCTTTTTCAATATTACAATGATTGTAGAAAATAATACGTCAATTTAAATATCAGTATTTATTCACTTTCATTAAAGCGAATCAAATTTGAAATGCCAAGTGCTTTTTCATAATATAATAAAATTGTTCATATCTTTTGAGTCTGAAGTTCTCATGCAATGAAAAATAAATTAAAATGAATAAAAAAGGTTTATTACCCAGCATCAAGAACTCCTGCCTTAAATGCAATCGAAACTCCAGATCGGACTCTCCAGGACCATAACTTAGTACAGCATTTATAAATGAAACCAAAGCCGTACTTAGTGCTGGACATGGCTGAATATGGGGACTAGTAGATCGGTCCAAATCGTTTACAATTCCTTGAAACCTGGGGAATGAAAAAAATATAAAATTTATATTGAGCAAATAAAATGAAGTGAATTATTAACTTATATAATGATTAATTACTGCTGAGCTAGTAGAGTTCTATTCAGGAAGAATTCCTAGAACTTGTATAAATATTTATGTGATATCAATAGGATAATTCATAGACAAGTTTGTCTAATTAGGCATTTATATACAAGAAGGTGTTGACTAATTACTAACCTCGTTCGCTCATGTGCATATTTTTGGTAATGCATCATCGCTGCTAAGACTTTCTTATGTCCTCCAGGAACGAGACAAACAGCACCCAAAATTTCCAGCGCCTGGATTTTGGTCCTTGTGTCTTCAGAACGCAGACTTTGGGCAATCGTGTCAATGCCCGTAGGATGCGCTAATACGTGGGCACGACCAGTCTGCGTAAAAGAATAGGAAATTAAATATCGTAAAAGTTTAACAATGTTTCTTTTTTGCACAGTAGTTTTTAATATTCTATTGTTCATAAAGCTTATAATAAAACATCAGGGTGTTGCCCTCAGATGATTTAAAATCAGATATTAAAAACGGGATATTTTCTTATGTCAAACATTATAAAAACATTACTGAAAATGTAAAAGAAAAATGTACTATTGCAAAATGTATTTTATGGAATATAAAAATTATACGAAGAATTTTTCTTTTACAGATTTTTAGATTTAAATTTTTATTATTTAAATCCATTACTTACAGAGTTGTTCATAAGAGCTTTTACACAGCCGATGAGCTCCCTTTCCAATTGTTCTCCAGCAGCACCAATGGTGCATCGTTCTGCACATTGCTGCAGCAAACGGAGCAGAAAGTGCAAACCTCGCAATTCTACAAAACGAAGGACGAAGGAATGAGCAGCCGTTCGCAGAGAAGTACGCAGAGCCTCCAAAAGTGCAGCCTGTTCGCCTGCATTCATTTGGTCCAGAGATCTTTCCATGGATTTCGACGATTCTAGTTGCTGTGGAAAGGAAAGATACAAACAATTAGAAAATTTTATTGACTTTAATGATGTAATATAAACAAATATTACCAAATAAAATGATAATCATATGTTTTCATGTTTAATAATTCTATATTTAAACCAAACTAATATTTATTTAAATGACAACATTATTTTTGATAAATAACAAAGTATTTTGGAAAAATTTAAAATCAACCCTCCGTCGGTTGGATATTTTTTTTTATCTTCGAACGGCCGGAGTGGTCTGGCTGGACCACCATTCGTTTTACATGCATTTATATGGGATAAATGAGTTTTTGGTGTCTTATATATTAACGATTATTAGTAGTAAATGTTTATAGTTTAGATTTTTTTTTTTACCGTCTTTTGCATGTGTTGGGTTGCTTATATTAAAAAAAATTATATACTATATTATATTATATAAAAAAAATCAAAGAATATAAAAAAATCGTTGCTTTTTTATTATTTTTATGTTTCCGTTTTATATTAATGAAAAACAATATTTATTCTTTTTCGGCTCCTTCGAAATGAATGTGAAATTCAAATGAAAACGAAATGAGGTGCGTCGCTTTTGAAATCAGCTGTAAAATTCAAGTTGAAAATATAATTTCACTACAGGTATAGCCAAAAAATTTTTTTAACGCAGTACGGGTAGAAAAATTGTTGATAATGTGCGCATTACTCATCCGATTTTCAGTATTTGTGATTACCAATAAGTTTGATAGGTTTTCCAGGAATTCTTGTCATGAAAATACTAACATTCATGTTACAACACATAGCAAAGGATATATACAACGCAGTTTGAATAGAAAATACCAGAAAAAAGACAAAATACTGGTTTACATATATCAAAAAGCGTAAATTTTATACAAAATGTATGGGTGGTCTAGACAGACCACTCCGACCGTTCGAAGTATAAAAAAGTAAAGGATATTAATCCTTATAATTATCCTTCTGTACATTTTTCCGTCCTGATTTTTTCATTGATCGACAGCTAATGAAATTTTAGGAAAAGTCAAGAAATTTCAAGTCGATAGGATTACTAGAAGTATTTTTTTTTAATTGAAGTCGAAAAAAGTCTGGCCAGACCACGGCAGATGAAATTCAAAATACTTGTTTATAATATATTGACTAATATTTAACTCTGAAAAATGCAAAATTGTATGTAGCTTAGATCATTAAATAGTCTGTTTGACCAAATTATTAATATAGAATAAGTTATTGGCTAAGTAAAGCAAGCTAGTAAATTACAAGTTGGGACTAAAATTAAGGAAGATTTCAAATAAGATCTATTATTTATAATTGAAGAATTTCATGAACTACTAATAATCCTTCAACTCACATCGGCCAGTGCTTGCAATCTTTCGATGTAATGCTCGGCCGTGCTGGGAGCGCCGGAGTACAATCCTGGCTCCTCGCTCTCCGCTCCTTTGCGAGAACAATAGATTTGCCATTTCTTCTGGGCTGGCAAATCTAGCATGACAGCTTTGTTCGCCGCGCTCAAGTCCAGTTCTTCCTGCAATGCAAAACCATTGTTAATGACAAAATGAAGAAATTAACTAGATTAAGTAATGAGTTAACTCTCAGTCTAGGTACCTCACGTTGGTTAGACATTCTCATTAATGGTATATAAATTACAATCCTATTACGAAGATGAATAGCTTTAACTTATGATGGATTAGGCTCTACAATGTTTAATGATTCGATAATGACAGAATAATCTGTGGCTCTTTGCATGCTATGCCGCCGGGGAATAAATAAAAAAATGTTAAAGATGTTCGAAGACATATGCATATGGATGTTATGTAATTATGAATTTTCATTTTCTGAAGTCTTTTTTTGTATTTTTTTTAATTTAAGATAAACAAAAATTGCTAATGCAAAATTTGAAACGAAATCTTCCAATAAGTTTTTCAAAAGTGAATATTAGATTGGATAAAGGAAAAATCATACGACGTGCATATTAATAATCCAAAAATATTTGCACAACTAGTGTGAAATTTTCAAAAAATCAAATTTTTATTTTTTCCATATTTCGGATATAGGTTATACCATTAAAAATAACATACCAAAATTTTAAATCGATATCTTAAATAGTTTTTGAGTCACAGCCATTTAAAGAGTGTATATATAGTATATAGTACCCGAACATTTTATCTTTTAACGCGTTTTTCTCGAAACAGCATTTTCCGAATTTGCTGCAGCGATTAGTCAAAAACTAATGATCCGATCACTATCAATTATTTTTTTACATCTTCTGTATATAGTTCTCCATAAAATGAACTATCGATTTTTTGATCGGATCAAAAATCGAATTTTGGCAGTCCAAAAACGACCAAAATTTTGGGTAAAATTCGACTTTTTTTAAGAAAACGCCGCCATTTTGTCAATTTTTGATTTTTTTTCTTGATCGTAGTTCATTTTACAGAAAATATTATCTAGTTTAACAAGAATTTTTTTTTAATTTCATCCACGTAGAAGGCCGGAATCACTGCAGCAATGAAGGGCCTTTTTTTGTCGCGCCGTTGGAGATCGGCGATAACTTAAAAAATATTTAATTTTCTTCTTCAAAAATTTTACTATGTATTCTTAAAACATGTATTAATATATTCCGAAAATTTTGAAATAATTGATAAAGTAGTTTTTTTAATATAAATTCCCAAAAATCGCCTTTTTTAGGCGGTTACACTAGTTGTACCCCTTAATTATAATATTGAGACAAAAGAGAAAAGATTTCCAGTTTCAAAACCTACATACCAAATGGTGCTAAGAAATTGATTAGTAATAATGGAGGGCATTTGTATAACACTTTATATCATAGAATAAGTTATAGTTTCCAAGAATACTTGCCTTAACAAATCTTTTAATTTCGTTTATAATTCATACAATTTTCAATAGTGCTAGAACGATACATGCTATAACAAGATTTCAGACTTTTGCAAATATGTATTAAACATTGTTCCGACATAAACTTGAGGAAATGATGATTCAAAGAATTTTTTGTATTATTTCGGCTCTTTATTGGCGTTAGCTTCCCAAAAAAACTCAAAATTTTTATTAATATTATTAATGAATTAATTACTATCAATTAGACCATTTGGCCTATTGGGATCAGTGATGAAAAGATAAAAAACAATTTGCATGGTAAATATTTCATGAATGGAATTGAAAGTTATAGCAGCTGAGTTTTATTAATAGACCTTATAATACACAAAAGTGTTTATAAAGTCTACGATTTTATTACATTGTTTCCTATTTTGACAATCGACATTTGTCAAGAAAACGCGAGGAGTAAGTTACTAATTTTCAAAAAATGAACTTATGAACTTACCACAAGTTCTGCAAATTTAGCATCTAATTCCTCCTGCGAAGGCATGGGCTGTGTTGGAGTGACGGCTTGAAGAGAAAGAGCTCCTGAATGTCCAACAACACAGTATGTAATTTCTGGCGGCTCATCATCCTGTAACAAAAAATTGATCATTAATTTAAGAAATTATATTTTCATCAACATCTATAATAGGTTCAATTTAAATACTAATTACTTCATTTGAATAGAGAACCTGCGTATCTATTCACATCCAAAATACTTTCAATGCTAGATTAGTCACAGTGATTACCAAATAATATAAGTATTACAAAAGAATAAAAAATAACATGGTTTGATAAATTAAACTTTTGTTGCTATACTTTCCGAACAGTTGGCGGTATGCGATTATAACTTTTACTAACATCACTGGAAAATTTTATGAATATTAATTGCATTTTGATGATTGTATATAAAAATTCTAGATTCTGATTTAATGCTGTATGTATATAAGTACAAGCGTGTTTAATTGATATTTCAATTATTGTTTTGTAGAAAAAACATTCAATTACTAGCTCCACCTACAAATTAAATAAACGCACGCTTCACTGAAGTAGAACGTGTAAAACAGAAGAATGCTAGAAATAAATAAATAATTTAATCAATTACTTATATAAACATTGCATGTGCTGAACTTGGAGTGTTAAATATTCTACTATTGTCAAAATGTGATCTGCTCTATCACTATTTAACTTAAAAAGTTGCTATTGCATTAAAATTAAAAATCATTTTCGCTCGTTTTTCATACATATATATTTTATTTTATTATTTATATGTTTTAATGAATATTTTAACATTTTACTTAATATTTATCTAAAGTTTTTCATCTGAAGAAAGGACAGAGATAAATAAAATAAATACATAAAATAAATCTACAAAAAAAAATATACTTTTGGTATCAATATTGAAATATTTCCGTTTATCTTCTAACATCGACGTCGTAAGAATTAAGGTGATGGTTGGTTGCACATCTTTTACCTTCTACTTTAAAAAGACATCACTTAAAAATTCTGTACTTAACTTGGTTTCGAGATAATGATGGTCGACCTTTTTACACCCGGACCTTTAAGCCCAATGTATGAAAAGAAGTTACATGAGTTGTCACACTTTTATTGTTTTCTTATTAGAGATGGGTAAAACACTCCGGAGTTATCCCCCCGATACAACTCTTCCCTCGGAGTGAATCCGAATGGAGTTGTCTCACAGGATTTGTCATATCCGACTTCCCTAAACTGGTACTAAATATATTAACATGTGCAGATATTTGCTTGAGCTTTTTAACTAATACAAAGATTTGGGTTGAAAGAAGTGTTTTTTTTTCTCGTCTCAAAGCCAGTTTTAGGACTTTCCAGGTATATAATGTCTTGAAATAATGCTATTTTGTGTTCTATATTCTGTATACGAAAATGTTTGTCCATAAATGAGCTCTTTCAATGGTATACAACCAGCCAAAAAATATTTAGTATTATATTATAACTTTTACACAATTATGATTTTATAATTGTGTAAAAGTAATAGTATGCTAATCAAACTACCTGATGCATAATTAATTCTCGAAAAAAAAAATAATAAAAGAATGTGAGTTATTATTATTTTGTGAAAAATATACACAAAGATTTGTTCTTATTTCATATGTAAGGTTCACTGCATTATTTTTATATAAAAATAAACATATTCAAAGAATTCTATATTTTCTCTTGAAAAATAATTACAAAATTGATTTTGATTTTCAAGATTTTTGTCAATTTGAGATTTGTATGCATTTTGAAATGCATAAAATAGTAATTATTATAATAAAATAAACAAAAATGTTTGAAATATTTGTAAACTATTTCCAAAGTCTTAATAAATTCTTAGATATGTTAACAACACACTAGAGAACACATTTGAGTCAAGTAATCTAAAGCGGAGTCAAATCCTAACCGTTCCGGCTTCGGATATGATAAGCCCATCTCTATTTCTTATTATAGTCTAAATAGTTCTGTACAAAATAATAGATTTTACTTAACTAAATTTTATATATAGTAAAAAGATAAAATCGTCACTACCTTTCCACAGCTTTAAGTGAATCTTCTCATTCCAAACATTAATAAAACCATTTTTTGTTAAGTTTTTTTTTGAATTATTTTCTATCGTCATTCTATCTCTAAACGAAGATTAATTTTATGATAAGTACTCTCGCGCCGGTAGCATTGGACTAGGTCAAGTTTATTTCATTGTCATGATCTTTGCGATTTTTAAAATGATTGATTAGCTTTGAGAAAGCGAAGTTGGAATTTGAAATCTGTTTGTATAACAAAAGAAACTTGGCTAATTTTTACCGAAGTATTTTGCGCAAATTGAAGCAATCTTCCGGATGTCAAATCTCGAGATCGTGTTAACTTTATAGTACCTCAGCGATAATGGACGCGTGCAAATACACTAATTGAAAGTAAATGTTTTTTTAGTGAATGTTATGAGGTGAGAAACAAAACACTTATTGATGAATATTATGAAAATTATATAGCACTTTCACAAACTTTATTTACCATCAGGTACGACATATGAATAGCGAACTCTATTAGGAGTAATTATACTGAAAATGTCAAAGAAAAAAATGGAATTGAAATTTACGACATTTAATGATGCTATTAAAAGCGGTTAAAAGCGATCTCCAATTACCAAGGTGATAAAGGAATACATAAAACCCCAAAACAAAGCATTCCAAAATTATATTGTAACTATTTGACTATATAAACAAACGCACTACATTCTTTTGTGCACTCACTTTGCCTTATGGTATTAAAATAAGGTCTTATTAATTTTGATGATGTTTTATCGTCACTAGTGTGCATAATATGTCTTAATTTATAGATAAAAATACATTACCAAATAAAATAGCCCTTCCCGGCAACTACTAAGAAATTAATTGCGAGGCGGGGCACAAAGGTCCAATTTGACTTCGACCAATTATGTTGTGCAAACTAAACCAATTTGTTTGCAACAAATAACACATATATCAATGAAACAATTGACTGTGTTCAGTAAATCTCCCAGTTAATTCATTATTATAAAAATGTGTTTATTTGCTTTTTTTAATTTGTCACCTGGTCCTTTTTATCCCACTGTATATGACCTTGGAATTTTGTCAGAAATTATATTCAGCATCGGTGCAATTATTTTTGTTACAATTGCTTTGAAAATTAACAGAAAATCTATTATAAAAGTGAATTAACAATGTGAAAATGAACCAACTGACTAAAATGTAATACAAAAAAATCTAAAACAAAAGGTTCTAAAATAAATAAATTCTAAATTGTAATTATTTTCGAGAAACGAAATAGAAGAGGAAATCACGTAAAGTGTTTTAAATATCCGTAGACTTGATATTTTGATAACTGATTATGATTATCGTTGTCGAAAAAATAATCCATTTTGATTCAAATTAATACTTATTACTTTATATATCGATTTTGTAATTAACCATTAAAAAGCCATGTATAATTACAATAATTGTTTTGTTATCACATTCGAAAAGGTTTCCAATTCACCAGATAAAAATACAATAATTGACCATATATCTCTAACCTCCTTATCATGATCTCTCTCAAAACAATACTATAATTTCTCCAACATTTTATCAAATTTAATGTTGACTTCCAGTTCGCAAGATCGTCTATGAGCAATTATGAAAATTTCTCTCTCATCTCATCTATAATTATGAATTATAATCAATATACCGAAGACCGGACTTCCAAGATCTCGTCGAAACACAAAAATGACAGAATGTGTAGAAGATTGAAGAAACGACAACAACTTTCGTTTTCGGTAAACGATGCTTAAAATACGAAATCAAAATAAATGAGACATGTCTGATCTTAAGAAAAAACATGTATGATTTATGGAACACATTTTACGTAACAAATCCAGATGCACAAACTGACAGAATCTTATAAATCGATCTGCATACTTCGATTTGATTGAACCGGATTGGGAATGTTTGGTGGACAAAGTTTACACTTCTGATATATGAAATTATCAAATCAATATACTTAATTCATATGTAAAAACAACATAAGATCATTAACGCTATCTAACTTTGCTCTAAAAATTTTTGATAGATTTTTTCTCAATTGTGCAACAATAATTTGGTAACAAGATAAAATTGTATATAAAGATGGTTAACTGGGACTTCCTATTTTGTACTTATTACTGGAAAAAATCTAATGTTCGTAGACATATGATAATAATAATTTGGTTTATATGGTGTCATTAGACATAAAATTCTTTCTTCTCATATTTGTTATGACACTAATATATTAAAAAATAATTTATTCAAATTTAATTCAAATCTGCAGCGTTACTATGAATTACTATGAATCTGTAGCAATATAAATATTAGGTATTTAAATCAATAAATGAATAAGTAAATAATTGAGAATAACCAAATACTTGCATAAAGAGGTATATATTAATAACATTATTAATTGATGTAGTTAATTATAATTATCTAACATTTATTTTATTATTTCATTTTTTATTGCCTCCTGTTTAAAAATTAGTCATTTAAATAATTTACAAAAATTTAATTTCTATTTTTACAATAAACTAAAAAAAATATGTCATTCTATAATGATGTGTATTTGAAACTAAACTATTTAATTTAAATTGCAACTCATTTTATATTCTTAAGAAAAAAATGATAAACATTAATATTTTTAAATTAATTAAGTTGAGGCAAGGTTGAATGGCTTCATAACATAGGCTTTATATATCTCACTTTAAAATATGTATCTTTAAACAATGATATTGTTACTAATGCTATTGTTATGAATAATTTTACTCTCTTTGGGCAAAATCTGTTGATAATATTTATCTGAAACCGGCAAGACACCGAAGGTAAAAAAACAGACCATCGAATATTAGGTTTGGTTTATTCCTATCATTCATCATATTATATTTATCTAAACTTCAGTAAATTAAATAGTATTGTAAAACTAATGCAGTAATATAAACATCTATGATTTATAATTATATATCACATTCATCTTAAAATTCGATTTAAACTCGTAATAAATCAAATAAGTATACAATCGTTTGGCGGCATTCGTGAGATT